TTTATAGTTTTTTGATTTCCTCTCGCGGTGTCCATGCTGTCTTCTAAAAGGACAAAAAATATTTTTGTTGGGAAAAATTTTTTGTTTTTCCGCCTCCCCCCCCCCTGGGGCACCCCTTTTCACGTTGTGAAAACATCCTTTCCCGTCCCCCACCCCCGTCTTTTCCCCCCCCCCCCCCCCCCCCCCCTGCGTGGGACTCCCAGTCCTAATACCATTGAAAGGTGATATGAATTTGTATCATAATATATTTGATTATTTAATATTAATGGCCTAAGGGAACTTAAGGAGCCCTTCTGTTTGGTTCTGGAAGCTGAGCTACTGGACGATGTATACGCTGGCGAATGCTTGTTTGGTTACGTACTGGAAGAAAAGCACGACCGGCACAAAGAATTGATGCATCCTCCCTTCGATTAATACTTAAACGATGTAAGCGCAGTGGATGACATGAAGGCTCTTGATCATCTGGGATGTTTGGCCCCACATCAAAGGAATCAAAGTCATCATCATCACCTCGGTATCTTTCATTCACAGTCCAGTAGTAGAAAGGCAGGTCAGGTGTCATACGTTTGCTGAATTCTCTAAGAAAATGAAAACACCGGAAAACAAACAATTAATAAGTACATGACCACAAATCAATTTATCAGAACTGCACAGAAGTCAATCCCACTGCAATCACTTTTAGTAAATCATGTATTCCCTATGACCTTATGATGTAATTCTTTGTATTTAAAGCAGAGGAAAATATCATAATTTAAAATTATTAGTGAGTTACAATTAATCATAATTAATAATTAGCAGATAAGGCTAACACAACTAACCTGACGACTTGTCTCCAGGTAGCTTTGAACTGGTTCAAAGTGAAAACGATTCCAGTAATCCTATGAAAAAAGGCAATAATAGCCTCCACATCATCAGTTGTACCAGCCCTGGGGTGTTCTGCATAACCAACTTCACCATCATTTTGGCATCTCCTAAACTCCATGCTTTCAATATTGGAGGTCACTGCGATAACTGTCTCGCGTGAGAAACCACAGAGCTCCTTGACGGGCCTATAAAAATAAACAACAGACAAAGCCAAAAGTTAAAGGCTTTTCTAGATACAATAAGTTACAAATTATGTACCTTGAGTAGCAGATCCAGGAAAAAATGTGAGAAGGAGAGTGTGGCCTAAGACTTGACCTAATCCGAAATACAGGAAGTATGACCCAAAGGTCTCTTTGAACCCAAGCCCTAGGGAAATGCAGTCAGCCTTTTCCTACCGCCAAGCTTAATTTTTGGCCTCCCCATTTTAATCCCTGACTTTAATTGAATACCTGTTGATGTCTATTGTGGAGAAGTCATAAATTTCTACATGCCAGGGCATCCATTCGTCTAGGATCATGTTCAGCATTGCATAGTTTCTCTTGCAACGTTCCAACTGTGTCAGACCTCGACCATCTGCTACCTCATATGCCAGCCTGCAACTATCTCCACGTACTTTCCTTCTCTTCCATAACCATTTTCATGCAGAAATTTGGCCACCAGAAATGAAAGCATGCGTTCCGCATCCGGTACTGATTGTTTCCTCTCACCCCGCAGTGCGGCAAGAGTCAGTCCAGTTGTGGGGTCAAGCACAGGTTTATCAAATCCCTCCAGATTAAAGCCCTCAGGACCTTTTTCTCTTGTGTGCTTCCATATACGTTTTAGTACATGACAGTGATCTTCACGTTCGTGGTAGAAGTCACCTGTAATTGGATCCACCTCAGGGACATACACATGCATACTAAAATCTGCACCCTCCCTCTTCAGCTCTGCAATTCTGTAGCGGTAACGAAATGTGGCTACTATCGTTCTCAACTTATCCAGGAGACTTTCTGTTCTTACTTTTATTTGCAGCACAGTATCAGATGATACAAGCAAACACCCCTATGATGTTGTGTGGTTTTTTTTTTTGTTGGATTTTTCTGATAAGAACATTGGTGAAAAATAAAACTAGGACGAGTGGGGGGCGGGGGGGGGGGGGGGGGTGAAGCTACTTCCCATACATTCTCTTAAATGAAATCCAAACGATGTTCTCACAACTTGCAAAGCGATCAGCAAGGGTCTTGCCAGCGAATTTGTGTACTGATCATGCGCATTACGTCAAAACCATAGATCAACGGTCTTGAGAAAAAACAAAAACATGGCAGTCGAAGGCGGGACTGTTTCTCACTATTATATTTTGGTAATTCGCAATTTTATTGCCAGATATTATGTCGCTTTTCAGACATAGTGTGTGGTTTTCTTTTTCTGTTAAACAATTTCCCTTTGCAGAGTTGGAATATGCAACATATAGCTCCGTATAGCTGCTAAGAACCGCCGAAGAGTTTAGTTATCGAGCAGTGTTTTGCTGCAAACCTTAGGAAAGTTAAAGTCGCTTCAAGGTACACAGCTTTTAGTAGTAGTAGTTGTGATTTGTTTTAGGATCGTTTTGAATTTTAACTTTGGATTCAAGGTGTTAACTGATCGAAATAAACGAAGTGAAATGTTATGTAGTGTTAATTTTTATTCAGTTATGATATGTAGAGCAGTAAGCTCATTGTTATAAAGCTATCTTGAATATACTTGCTTCCGATAAATTTGACACTAGCTCCAGTAATTTTTTATATCTGCATATTATAAAGTTATCCTTGCCCGGCAAAAACGATGTAACCTATAAATAAATCCATCGAGCGCGTTGTTGTTGGTTAAGACCTAGCACGGTTGCGTTTTAGTTTTCTCCCGCATTTCAGGGCTGAAAGGCAAATGCGATATGCAAGAAAAACAAAGATGCATGATATGATTTTTTTTCAATTTTTTAAGCATTTCTGATTTCCTCTGCCGGTCCGCTTCTTGCTTCTAAAAAGTCAAAAAATATTTACTGTGGGAAAAATACTGTAGTTATCCGCTGACCACTACGCTGGGAGACCGCTTTGCAAGTTGTGAGAACATCGTTTCTCGGTCCCAGACCTCGTCTCTTCCCCCCACCCCCCCCCCCCCCCCCCCCCCCCCCCCCCCCCCCCCCCCCC